GCCGGTGCTAGGGGGTATGGATGGTAACTTGCAATTACCACTACCGGTATGTTCAAATATGACGACACAGTGTTAATAAAATAAATCCCCGCCAAGTAAAATTCTAACAAATGTTATGGTTACATTAGACGAAATAAATAAAATACATACATGATACGTGTAAATTTGTACAACTAAGGTACAGCCTAATTACCATAACCAAAGTACTCGATGCCTTAAAGGAAGGCAGAGCAACAAGAACATCACTTACCAAGACAGAAGACGAAATTAAAACAATTAAAAACGCACAAAACGTCAAAAATGAAAGTGTTGCAGGCTCAGTTTGATTGAGCCTGTTCATGAACGGCACTGTCAAGTGCAAACTACCGTACACACCGCCTAGCGCCGAATTAAGCAGAATTCAACAATTAATCATGTTTATGGTGATTTTTTGGATTTAGAAACAACCGCAGACGCGCTTATAATGTAGTTATCATGGAACCTTCAATGTGACACGTTAGTGTCATTCCATAAAAAGCGGCGTATGGTCGCCAAGTACAAGAATATGTGTGCCCTAAACAAGAAAACAATGAGCGGAACTAAATAAAATGGAATTTTGAAAGGGGATCAGAGGTTATGAAGCCTGCATGCCACAGATAAGCTGTCATCTCCACATAAATCAGACCTGCTTATACCTAGACGTAAAAGAGTTTTTAAAGTACAATTGAATTTTAAATTTATCTTAATTACGACGACAGGACTTTGTAACATATTTACGTAATTTATAATAGCGATAGCCTTATGAAAGAGGTTATGACCCTACTATTTTAAGACATACTGCATGTTTAGTGTTCAAGCCTTTTACAGTTGGACACTACGCTTTCCTCTTTGGATTACATCTGACGGACCAAGTGGGAGACTCTATGATGGATAGTTCGTAAAGCCCTTTGGGACTGAATTGTCTTAATGTTCGTCTTCTGCCTTGCTTCGTCGGGCCCTTGTAGGTGATTTTCCTGTTGCTCTGTCTTCCTTTAGGACATTGAGTACTTTTGTTATGGTCATTGGGTTTACTTTTATATGTTTCGACATGATCATTTTAGTGTTTTACTTATTTAACCTTTTGTAACCATGACAACTGTTAGAATTTCACTTGGCGGGGATTCATTTTATTTACACTGTCTCGTCTATAGGAACATGGTGGGGTTAAGAGCGAGGTTTGGTGCACCATTCACCGGTTTAAACTCCTCAGCAGTCATTATTATGCTGCTGACCGTTCCAAGGCGGCGCCCCTCTGTGTTCCTCAGATGTATGTCTATGTTGTTTCATACTGTTTTGGTGACACTCTTGCTTGTGTCCCTTGTTGTTTTCTCGTCTACGGTAAGTATCTTCCCCATTACCTCTAGTTTTTATTTCTTTGATTAACCCACCCCCCTCCCCCGGTCTCCTGTTCCCTTCCCCTTTGTGGGCCTATTATTCTTTTCTCTGAATTCCTAATCAGTTACAAATTATTTATCATTTAATGATTAACCTGTCCGTGCTCTGTCTTTGCCCTGCCCTGTTTATGTTTGGGTTCCGCCTGGGCTCCTTGCCGCTGGTTCTTGTTGCTGGGTCACATGGGGATTGCGTTCATTGAACGCCGCCTTTCCTTGTTGATCTTGTTTTACATATTGTTAAAGAAGTTTGCCAGTAATAAATACATTGCATTGATTAGAATCATCCACACGACAGCAGGCCCAGGCAAATCTAATTAACTTAGAAATATATATACCCAATATGATGTTGAATGAAGAACATGTGAACAGTTAACAACGTTATTGAAAAAAAAAGTGTTCATAAATTTTAGTTACTATGTTATTGTTAATGATAGAAATGTTAAAATTTGAAAATATTAAGAATTTGTTTTATTCATTTTACGTTCACTTGAAAATATTTAAGATTTCACTTGATCAAATTTGAGTACTCATGTTAAGGATATCATCTAGGTAGCGGGCTAATGCTATTTAATGCAACGTATAGCTTCTGGTTGTGAAATAGTAGAGAGACTTAACAGTAACTAACATGTCATTGGCATTATAATTGTAAAAAAATCAGGAAAAGAGAATATCCTTTGAGAGCAATTAAACATGGCAAAGTTGATAATTCAAACTCAGTTTAATGGGGTGTGTTCATGAGAGACCATATCTCACGTCTCTTAGTACCAACTAAGTAGTATCCGATCCTCAACTATAAAAGTTTTGCAATCAATGATCCCGAAGGACCAAGTCGTCCGGTTAGCTCAATAGGTAGAGCGTTGGACTGTGAATCGGGCAACCCGTGTTTGATTCCCGGACGGGGCAGGTCACTTTCGTTATGACTCATGAAATAGTTTCTATGTTTATTCGCACTGTACCACTGCTCTGCTATGTACAAACGTTTCAGTTTCTTGCGAAAGTTAGGGCAACTAGTACTGGTAAACTGTTTTGACAGCCTGTCCAGGAACGATTCGGTGGCTGAACTGTGCTCTGGTAAATTCAATATGGTTACTGCCGTGATCCGGATTGAAAACTACCGACACCACCATCCCGAAGGACCTATTAATATAACACTGTTAACCTGCTGTTGCAGACTCGGTTTGACTGAGCCTGTTCATGGACGGTACTGGAAAGTTCATGTTACTCTACGCCCCCCCCCCCCCCCCCCCTCCTAGCACATAGTATTACTTTTAAGTACCCGCCAGGGAAAAGATAAGCTATTTTCGTCCAATTGAAAGGCTTTCTTAATTCCTCCCATGAAGTTAACAACAAACTTGAAACAAAATGCTCAAAATCATACACAGGAGCTGTCAGTAGAACAGCGTGCTCATCTATTCTCAGTGCTTGATAGTAAAAAAATGTGACATAATATTGTAAAAAAAGCTTGATACAGTGACCTCCTCTGTACAGAGGTTGAGATTATGATGGTGAGCAAGTGTGCAAGGTCTCAAAGCGATATGTCGATGGGATTTTGAAATTTTGGTAATGTAAATTCAAAGTTGAAAAAAGGGGCATAATTCTGACAAAATGCTTGATAGACCTTCTCCAGTGTTCAAGTGGAAGGCATGATCATGGTAAACAAGTGTGCAAGTTTCAAAGCCATATGTCAATGGACTTTAAGATGGTACGCCGACGCTCTGGCGACTAGGATATTCATAATTCAGATACAGTCTAGCAGAAAAGTCTCTTACTGTAAACTGAATAACCTACCCATTTTAAATGTTCTAGCAAATTACATTATACATTTTAATGTATATATTATATCTGTCATCAATAATGACAAAACTCCAAATATGGTTCAATTGTAGATTATCATATGTTAAGCCAAATGCCTTAAAACAAGAGCTGCATGTCTGGCAGCACGCTCGAATATTTAGAATCAACAGCCTGCATAATAAAGAAATTCTCTTATTCATAAAGTAGTATAACTCTTTGAAATAAAAAAAGTTAGAGGGAAGTAACGTACAATAATGATCTCAAAGATGTGTTTATTTTCAAGTGCATTACCTCAATGGTTGTGAATATCATAAAGAGATGTTCTTATTTCCTAATAAATGCTTAGCTTATGGGTCTTGAACAGTGACCTACAAGAATAATCAAAAACACATTTGAAGACTAACAATTAATGTTTAACTTGCAAACAAATCCTTAACAAAAGGCTAGCACAAAGTCAACGCAAATACCGAATTGCAGGTCAGTAAATTCGTTCTATATTGTGTGCATTAAACAAATAAAAGAGATATTCGAACATTTAGACACACATGCAGGGCATTTTCTATGAAAGGTAAGATGTCTCATCACTTACCAATTAAATAAAATTGTTAATCTTTTTAATATAACTATTATAATATAAAACAAAAAAGTATTTAACTTAAAGTTGACTCCCCGTTCGTAATACCCCACCCACTTTGTATATGATCAGCATTAGATCAATAAAACACATTTATGGCATAGTTTGCTTATTCTAACTTATTCTAAATATGTGTAGATATAGTTTTAAAGCTGTATTAAACGAAATCATGAATGTTATTCAGTTTAAACAAGAATAAAACTAATAAGTTACACATATTCAGAAAAGGACACCCAGTTGGCAACATATGTTTTCTTCTTTCGTTAAAATTAGGCGATGAAAACTAGAAAAAAATCAATAAAGTCAAAATTTATAGCATAAGTAAGTTGAAAATAAGAAATTTTATGCAAAATTTCAATTGATTTACAAAACTGAAAAAGGAAATAAGCCAACGTAAATATACTAGAATATTTAGGGATTTGGCGGCCATCTTTGACGCCATCTTGGATATCTTAGCTTCGCATCGGGGTTGGGCAAAATGAATATCCATTCAAGAAACTACAGATCCAGACGAACATTTTGGTATATGAAACTTGCTGTTGGCTGACATAGACCACTTACCCCTCTAAATAGGCTAATAAAATGGGCTGATTTGCAGCACTATCAGGTCTATCGGCCGTAGTCATCATAAACTGCATATTTGGTCATAATTTTTCAAAAATGCACTTGAAATTGGTTATATTTCCGAATCAACAGATATTGTTTGTTTAATATTCTACAGGTACTGCTATAGTAGCTTCGATAAAGCTGCATGTAAATATACCATAGCGATAATTTATAACTATCTTACAATGGGTTTTCAACATACTTCTTGAAAAGCGCTTCTGAAAAATAGATTAGTCGTCTTTTAATAAAACATACATGTATGTGTATATGCCCCCACGAAACTTTAAAGATTTTGGAAGCAAAAAAAAATAAAAAAATAATGCAACTGAAGTTGTAAAACAATCGTTCTTAAAACAATCGTTCTGAAAGTTGAAATATAAATATGAAGGAACGTTTTCTTTTCCAAAAGTTATCTTCTTTGTTTTGTAACGTTCTGTCTCAAAAGAAAACAAAAATGTAGAAGGTTATGATAACGTTTATAGAACTGGACGTGTTCTTTTGTGGTTGTACCTATTGCTCAAAACTGACAGAAATTCATATCTCTTTATAGAATCGATTTTGACACCAACTCCAACAATGTCCTTCACTTCGAATAGTAGCTTGTCTTCTGTCATCAGTACAGGTATGTCATATTCACATCTTTTTCTTCAAATCACATCTAATATATTTTAAATTTAAAATAAGTACACGATACTTATACTTATTTTTATAACTTAAGAAATGGTAATTATTCCACTGAAGGGTGAACTTTCTGGATCATCGAATGTCCGTCGTCCGTCGCTTGTCGCCTGACAGCATTTAGTTCTTTAAAATCTAGTGGACACATGTTGGATGTTTGTCCTAGTACTGCTCAAGTGCATTCGAACAAAGGGATACGATTTTGATCCCAAATATCTTGAAAAGTTGTCAGAAAGATTTTCATGATGATTTCTAGCTCAGGCTCTAATACGGGTCATCTCTTTTGTTTCTTGAATGAATAATCCAAGTGAACGCTTATTTTTCCTCGCAATCGCTGACATTTTCACGCAAAGCTAATGTGTTCACTCGCCAATCATGGATTTTAATTATTAACAACTGTATTTTCTGTTATATTGGATATTCACAGAAATCTCCTTTCAATATGCGACTTTATTTACGATTCTTTATTTGTTAAATAAGTTGTCCGAATTCCCTTTGTCACGCAAATTTACCTGAAAAAAGCTTAAGGACTTTCCTGTTTTCAGCATTGATTTTTCCTTCTTAAGCATGTGAATGCTTACAAGAATACAAAAAAAACAACGTTTAAACCATCGTTGCAGAACGCCGTGTGAGTGTTATTTGTGCATGGTGCTCAATTTACGTAACGCCGATTTTGATTCGTCTGCTTCTAACCTATATTCCGGACAGCCATTAAAGGGGGTTTTATATTGATAAAATCTGCTTTAATCTCATATGCATATTGGATTAACACATAACATATTTTTTGGATATTGTTTGTCAGAGAATATTCAACCCCCATTTTCCAAATTGTGTCTTTTACTCTACCGGAAATCTAATATTACCCGCGACAGCATTCTTTTATAGAACAACTGCTAATATATGTTTAGCTGCGCATTATATTTAGCAGAAACGCGTTATACTGAGGAATGCGTTGTTTAAGCATTTATACATTTTCTGTTCTCAGCCGTGTAAACAGAACTCTTAGCGTTTAACGTAAATCGTTGAAATATTGATACCAATGTCAATCTTATTTATGTGCAGATCATATTGTCATGTTTGTGGACATACGTGCAAGTGCATTTTTGTAAATAAATATGACTAGGATATTGTATGGAATTTTCGGTAGATAGGTTATTTATTTCTCATTTCCTAGACAAAGTTTAGGTCGTGTCGTATAGGAGCCTATATCCCTGGCGATTTAGGTGATTTTGTGCATATGGGCGTGAGATATGTTGCACTTTTTACATTATTTCTTATAAACAGACTCAATCAACTGAGTTGAAATTGTTGTTCTAATTGCATTTAAATGATTTGTTATTTGGTATTAATAAATTTATTTATCCTAGTGCCAGTATATTATATCTATATATAGGGAAAATGATCAAATGATGATGAAGGTCAGCTCGTGGTGATATTTTACTGCAACCTTAAAATCTATTTAACTCCCAAAACGTACTTATTCATGTACTGTTAACGCTTGGAACTTTACGTTTACTATGCCTCGGTAAATATTGCCTTTCTCAGGTTTAAAATGTCTTTTATTGAGGTGTTTGATTGATTGCCAGCCTATCTGTACTTCTGTTATTTGATTGTTCTATGTTACAGGGACACCTTCTTTGGAAATTTATGTAACGATGCCAAGAACTGAAATAAATACATCTGCTATAACGCCGTTTACATCCTCTCCAAGCATGTCATCAACAAGTTCAACTATAGTGGTTGCTTCGTCAATTTATATAAGTAAATATTCCAATTCAAAGATACATCAAATTCTGTTTCCATATTCATATCCATAGTTTTTAGAAGGTGGATTTAGTGGTACATATCGGTCCGCCATTACAGCCTAAAAATTGATAAAAACACAATATTTTGACACTGACAAAAATGTTTACACATAGATAATTGCATTAAGTTACCTGACATCAGAATTGTTTTGCTATCGCTTTGTTAAATAAGAAAATTAACTGTTTTTGTAAAGAATTCTCAATCTAAACGCTCGAGTATTACAGTGATAGGCACAAAAGGACATTCAATATTCAACAATGATTCAATTCAGTATTTGTTGCTATTAATCTCAATGTTTTGGATATATTTAGATTGTTTCCTTAAAAATATATATTTGTTGTTACAGTAACACCTGACCCTGCAGCAGCACATAAAGTTAAAGAATCAGGTACAAGTATTAACATTTCATTCAACTCTAGTATAAAACAAATCGTATTTTAAAAAAATTGAACCAAGAGGGATGCCAGTAGTTTTAAATTATTTTAGAAGAGAGTAAAGAAATTGTACTTAAAGTCTAATGGAATATCTGCAATACAATCAAACGTATAGGTTTTTTTTTAAATATTTTATAGTATTTCTCGAGTGATTAGTTTTCTGTTTACAATATTCTAGATTTCAAATCAGTCTTGTTGTAGTAAAGGACGATCATTATCCATCATTATCCATGTATATTGCTTTGAATTGCATGATCATATTATCAGTCATGGACAAACGAAATTTGAAATATTATACAGATATACATTTTGCTTTATATGAACTCCCTTAAACAGTTTCAAACTGCAACGAAGTACCATACGATTTATCTTAATAAAAGGAAATGTTGTTCCAAATATGATATTATGCCATTGTTATTAAGTTAACTTAACTATATAAACGGCAATAAAAAGATATGTTTAGTCACATTTTGATAGGTTTAAAATTTCAATGTAATATCAAAGTGATGTGGTAATCACAAACTTAAAAAAAATAACACATAGCAAATCAAACCTTGTAATTAGTTTGATTTGATCTATGCATACAGATATATTTTCAATTAAAAATATTGTTACCATAAAGTTCTACAAGAAAATACAATTACAAATCTGTATATTGTCAGCATAACTTGAAATTTGTTTTAATCATTTACATTTTAGTGTAATCCCACATATTCAAGTGTCATGTAACTCTTGGTTTCAATGATTCACTGATCAAGTGATTTAGTGTTATCAAGAATAACAAAGTGGTACAATAGGTTTTACATGCTGTATAGATGTAAACACATACATGCACAAAAATACTCCAGCATCCGTCATTATTTCGGTTCGGTGATGAGATCTTAGTTCTTACTTAACGAAATCAGCTTCAACTTGAATAATATACTAGTAATAGATGACAAATGCTTTTTTAATAAATAACTTCCAAAATATGATTAGGAAATAGTTGCCTCTCATCTGATTAAAAATAAAAAAGTACAGTCATTCTACCCATAATGCCTTCTATTTTAACTATATGTAATTGTCGTTAATACAATACCCACCTTTCGATGTTAATTGGAGTATATATATGATTGAACTTTTCAGATATAAACGCTGCATACATTGCAGTTCCAGTGGTAGTATGTGTGATTGCATTACTATTAGGCGTTGGTATCATATGGTGGAGGTAAGTTTTGATTTAGACTATCCATTTATCGATCTATCTATAAAGTTATTAATTCATCAAAATATTCAAGCCATCCATCCAGTTCTTAAATCAATCGATATTAAAGGAGTGATTAAACTGTAAAATAACCTCACAGTATTACCAAGTGAAAATCGAAAGTGATTTGAAATATTAACATATATCCATTATTTTAAGGTGTCTCATCTACGATGCATTCATAAAATAGTATCTTTGAATACTGAAATATTTGAATTTTTATTTGAATCTTATATTATTCTTTGCTCTAGAATTGCTTTTTCTTTATCTGCATTGCCATCCTTGCTTTTTACAGACGAAGGACACCTAAGTCTGCAGTTTTATTTGAAAGGAGCGAACCTGGCTCCATAATAACAAACCAAGTATATGCAGCAAATGATATAGACAGAAATTGTTCTTTGATGAATGTGCGTCAATCAAGAGTGCACGAGTACGCAGAAATACATTTAGACATAATGAATTCCGGTGAAACCATAGGAGATAATTATCAAACAATAGACATTCTACCTGAAGACAAAGCTGACGTGAAGAAATCGTATGATACTTTTAAACTATCAGAGACGGAGTTTACTGATACAAACTACTCTCATATCGGTTTAAACAATACGCAAAATAATACTCACGCTGATAATACATACTCTCATACACAATTGGAGAATGTGACACAGAAACCTGAAATAACCGTCAATGGTGATGATACGTATAACAAGTTACACAGTGCAACATTACCTGAAAGAAGATGTCAAGATACAGAAAACTCAGACACGGAGTACAGCCATGCTCATGCTGGGGGCCAGGGCCCTCAAAACGAAGCTGATAATTATTCACATCTGGACACAAATATGCGAACACAAGGAAAGTCTACTATAATGACTAAACGTCAATGTGAAGATGGAAAGAAAAACAAAAAAAGCAACACCTGCCAATCATCTGCTAAGGACCTTCCATTAAATACAGATTATGAATTCGCGAAAGATTTTGATAATCTGCAAAGTAGCAGTAAAGCACCAGAGTACGCCAAGGTAACAAAAAAGAAACCTGCTTTTAACGAAGCTTATAATGCAGGTAAAGATAACGAAACGGCTGTCGGTACAATACACAATTATCTTATTTTAAAACCAGAACAAAATCAAGCACCAACTGCTGCATTGTTTAACGTGGTTGAGGACGAACCTGTGGTTGAAGACGAACCTGCTACGACTGGAGGAAAACACGAGACAGAAACGGATCATAAGTATTTTACATTAGAAAAACTTAATACTTAATGGAATCAGAAAAATACTTGAAAGTTTATTTCTATTAAATGGTCACAGATACGAAGAAAGAATGTTTGAGTTTCCTGTTCTGTTCCAAAACATATGTTTGTTTTTATAAGGTGTATTAAAGAGAAACACAAAAATATATTTAATTCATAAGAAGAAAAATAATAATATATAATTATAAATCGGATCAAAAAGCAATGCCATGAAACAATTCAGTCACCTGAAAGTTATATGTCATATAAACATGACTGACGTAACAATCCACATTGATGTAAATGGTTTGTATAGTTAAAGGATAAATTAATTGAAAATTCTATTGGCAACAGTAAGCGTCAATGATTCGCATCTTCAATGCAATTATTTTCTAGATATTCTTCCTAACTCTTAACATAACTTTTGCAAAAACATAAATCACAATGTCATTGTATGTATCATTTATCATAATCATAAGTTATATTTCCTTGCTGTAACAATAAGTCGCACACACATATTGTAAATTTTATGTTTTGCTATCTATATTTGAAGAACACTGAAATCGTAAAGCTTTTAATGAATCATAAGTTTCATCAGTTAACAGCCTTTATAATTTAGGACAAATGTAAATTTTTGAGCCGACGTATCAATTAATAAAGAAAGGAGTGCGTCGCAGAGACAAGTATATCCTTTTAACCAATTGTATAAGATGTAATGAGTTACAAATTCAAATCAATCGATCAGTCAATCCAACAAATGAGTGAAGAAATTCACCAAATTCATCAAATCAACAAATACTCAATAAGTCAGTAAGTCAATGATTTAAACATTGTCTTAAATGAAACATACCTAGTTAGGAGTTTATTATATATAATGTTTGTAAAATTATGAAAATTGAGCCGCGTCATGACAAAACCAACATAGTGGGTTTGCGACCAGCATGGATCCAGACCAGCCTGCGCCTCCGCGCAGTCTGATCAGGATCCATGCTGTTCGCTATCAGTTTCTCTACTTGTAGTAGGGTTTGTAAGCGAACAGCATGGATCCTGATCAGACTGCGCGGATGCGCAGGCTGGACTGGATCCATGCGGGTCGCAAACGCACTATGTTGGTTTTGTCGTGACGCGGCTCAATTATGAAGATGATTTATAAGAATCCGATTTTCATTTTTATTTTAGTGCAAAATTATGGTCCTGTTGAAAAAAATGAAATATGATATTTTTACTACATGTAAAGTACTGCATTGAAAAAATGATAACAGGAAAAAGAAATCGGAACATAATAAAATTACACGCTTTATTCAGTATAATTTTTGTAAATATATTTTAGGTGTTATAACAGGTATTTAAAGGGTACAAAAGACATTATTGTCTTCAATGAAAAGGAAACCCATAATAAAACTTGCAAAACATATAATTAATGCTTTCTCTTTCTGTATAGAGATACTCTTGACTGATACATGTCTACTGATCGTGAATATTATTATTTGATATATATATGTTTGTTTATTTATATTTTTATCACATATATTGCCTTTGCCATATTTATATCACTATATATGCCTTTGCCATATTGATATATTTGTAAATGACTAAAGGCAAATGTTTTTGTTGAATGCCAATAAACTTTGAACTTTGTAAAGAACAATTAAAATAAGGTACAACTCTTGTTTTATCTCGGCTTTTGAATAAATAAAATGGCGTGAACAAATATCAAATGTCAGTGAATAAAGTGAAATACTAGGTGTATAATAATAGGGAAGTATGAATTTAACAGTGTTAGTTTTTTTTTCTCATTTTCATCGACATGTTGTTTTTTTGTCGTCAACTCCCTACTTTTACGACACGGTAGATATCAGTAAAATGTAAAAGGACATAAAAGTTATATAGGTTTTCAAAATGAGATGTTTACAAAACAGTATAATATCAACCTTTTTATTGTCATTGAGAATATCTTTCCTTTAAATAAAACAACTTCATATCATTACATATCAACTTCCTTGCTCACAATTTAAAGCTATCTTTACAGAGGCCTTAAATACAATGTACATGACATGAATATCAAAGTGATAAATCTTTTCATTCTTTTATTCTTATTTGAGGAAAACAAGTTTCTGGTGTAAAGTTTCAACATCACACCTTTGTAATTTTTAGGAAATAGATAAGGAAAGGCACGCAAACAACGATGTTATTTAACACCTGTTTACAAGGAAGTTAACATGTAAACGTGAAACAATAATATATATCCATCCTACACTTCATCCTAAAATTACTACAATCACAGAAAAATGTGTTTTTTCTCGAAACCCTAGTTGTTCAACGCGGTAAATATGTGTATGGACATATCCAATTAAAAAGTAAACGAATCTATCTAAATATAGTATAGATTTGAGGAATATGGACATTGTGATGTAAACAAGGTTTCAATTTAGAATAACTTTTACATTGATATGTTTCAAATAGTTGCCAAAACCTTTGCTATAAACATGACGCCTATTTTGACAATACACTAGAAAAACGGAATCCCAAAAAAGGCCAAAACGGAAAAATCCAAAGATGGTGCAGACTTGGTTTTCGAAACACACAAAGGCTTAATGAGCGAGACTGAGCTCATATCTAGTTTTCATGATATTTTTAAATGATGAGGACCTACCTCTCTAGAGTAGTTAGTTTTCAAAGCCTTAGTAATAGCCGGGCAACCCAAAGCCCTGGCCCACTGCGGTTCCGGCTTTTGACTTCCCCGTATGATACCAGATATTTTCAATGTTTAATAAAATAAAAACTACACGGTAAAAGTACTTTATATTTTGCAAGAGTAACCAATATACTTCTTGATTTTTTTAGCAAACTTTGAAAACAGCCCCTTATTGTGGTAATTTTAAGTGATATTTTGAATAAGGCTTTTATATAGGGAAATGGTTAAAAAGGTGTTTAAAGTAGTTGGGGGTAGGGTATCATTTTTATACATACATATATTGAAAATATTTCGTTTGGAAGCAATCAGTTTGCTCGTGTAATTAATTACCTGAATGTTATTATAAGTTTCTTAACACTGAGGAAAAAACCACAGGGTAGATTTTATTTAAATTTTGCATACAGGTGACCTTATTGGCATATTACTGTCCTATGCTGTCAATTTTACAATTCCGTATAGTGCCCATTAGAAGTGGTCTACCTTAAGATGAAAACATTTGTTTTTATATTGTGACATCAGATGCTACGTATGTTTGGATATAATACTGCGCGCTGCTATAGATTTGATATCGGCATTTATAATTCTTCGTCTGTGGATAAAATGTTGACTATAATTGACGTTGGGCGTATGCTTATGCAATATCTTTCTCGGTTAAATCATTTACAAATAAATGTACAGCATTACATGTTTTTGAAAAATTCTTAGACCAATGCATTTTCAAAAGGCCACCCATAACGTGATAATTCAGTCTTTACATAATTTCAGCATAAAAAGTGAATTTGTAAAAGTTAAGCTTTAGTGCGTTGTTGATTTCTTTAATTTATATTTACCTTTTTTCCTTAAGTATTTTCCCTTCGGAAGTAGTATTTAAGGCAATTTAGCCAATGAAAATCTCGGCTTAAGACTACGTCATGTAATATGTCTTAAACAATATTTAACAATGTAGCAATAACAATATAACATTAAACAGACTTTAGTAGTACGTGCATAGTAGTACATATATGGCTCAAATAAAAATCCACGTAAACATACTTGAAATTCATTTAAAATAACAAATAAACATTATACCGGTTCAAAATTCACGAGCGTAGATAAAACACATTACTCTACATGTTATATATAAGAAGTCCTTAAAGTTTCAATGACAACAAATAGACATGCGTTAAAAAAACGGACTGAAACTTAATGAAATAGGAAATAGTCCGCCATTTTACACACCGAATTCGACAGAGATATTAACTCTGCTGCATGTATTTATAACCGTAGATGTTTCAAATTATTAAGTTTATTAAGTTGCAAAATGTTCATCAGGAACCGTATTGTGGCGAACATTATCTTATACTATTGTAATGAAATGCTATTTCTAAAGGAAAACAGAGAGCTGTCAACAATGATTTTCAAGTGATTTGTTCCGGGTAATATAGACCACTTTTTAAATGGTAGACCTGTATGATATTTGTTAACACGTATAACAGTAACTGATATATGGAATTTTATGATTGTTGGATTGAATTATTTGCATTCCCGATAACTTTTGAAAGGAAACAATTATAAAAAATATATCTTCTCCAATTATACTGTCAAAAGTTATACAATGTTGAACTGGGACCCACTTTGTGTAGCTCTTTACGATCATCTCTTTTATTATAAGATGTTATCGAACCATTTACATCCTTTTCCCTATAATTATCGTTTCTGTTCATAAACATTTCGTTTCTGTATAATCAAATAACTTTGATGTTTTTCTGATATAATTTCTTATGATTTTTTAATCAAATTGTTAATAATTGGCTATGATTGATACGCCCCGTCGACCTTGACCCATTGTATTATAGCCCTGTTGGATATCTACACGATGGTCTTGTGAGGCTGGATGCTATTTAAGACTGCTTTTAATGAATATTTGTCTCACTTGCTAGATGTATAATAAAATATTTGATATATTTGAATTCATGTTCTTCTTGGTCATTACTTGTTACCGTTTAAATGTGCAGCATAATACACAGCATACCTGAGCTATATTCAATATACATATGAGCTGTGTCACGACAAAACCAACATAATGGGTTTTGCGACCAGCATGGATCCAGACCAGCCTGCTCATCCGCGCAGCCTGATCAGGATCCATGCTGTTCGCTTATAGACCCAATAACAAGTAAAGAAACTGATAGCGAACAGCATGGATCCTGATCAGACTGCGCGGATGCGCAGGCTGGTCTGGATCCATGCTGATCGCAAACCCATTATGTTGGTATTGTCATTACACGGCTCATATCTCCTTATACAAATCGTTGTGTTTCGTTCGAACGTTTAAACGTCTTAATAATATGTGATAGTTCATGCGTGGAAATACCCATGATAGCAATTCTATTGATATTGGATAAAAATATTAAAATAGTGAATTCTGAAAGTTGAAATTGTGAATTTGTACAGATGAAATAGAAAATTAAGGAATTTAAAATATCAAAAACATTCTCTTACGTTTTTCATTCGT